TAGAAGTAGGACTGTTACTCATTCATCACTATCCTCAAAATCAACACTCCCTTTTTCTTCTGCAAGTTCTATAAAACCTTTTTTGGGTATTTCACTCAGTAAAACTTTTTCATGTGGATCATCTTTTCTCCATTTCTCTATTTTTCTCCATATCACAAAGCCAACAATATGCCATCCTATAATGAAGAGAACGAATGAGACTCTTGTATATCTGAAATGAAAAGAAAAAATCAGTAAAATTCACAAAATTCTTGACAAATCCATTGAAAGCTTTTGTGAAATACCTAATCTCGAATTCATAGATTTCAAAGCAATGAGCGCAATAATAGGTTACAGTTTTTTCCGAGACAGACACGGAGTAGACATCTGCTGATTAAGTTGTTAAGAGAGTAAAAAGTGGAGGAAACTAATCGTCGTTAATAGTTTTTTTTTTTTTGAAACTAAAACCAAAATATTTGATAATCACTGAATTAAAAAAAGTCTTTGTCTCGGATACAGCATAAGATTCATGATTCAAAAGAAAGGATACAAGAAAAATGATCTGGGACCTAAATTTTTTGAAAGATGTCATCACTATTCAATTATCATTATTCTTTTCCCTTTTGCTCTTAAAAGATGTTAGATTAACCTTTTTGTTAATTGTTGATATGTTAAACGTGATGGCGGTCGCCTATTACGAATATATTGTCGCCATTTCCGTCGCCATTCCCAAACTAACATAATAAAGTCTGTATTTTCGATTTTTCGATGTTTTTGTTTTTCTGGATTAATAAACCGGCTTCGGTTGCATCGTAGGCAGAATACCAAAACGTTTCTTGATAATTATCCTATATTTCGAATTTTTGTCTTCGGGTGAAAAACGAGCTGGATGAGCGCTTTGCGTTTGTCGGCCTTGGGGATCTATACTCTGCAATACAACATAATCAAAATCATATTTTTTTCATTTTTCTAAATAATGTCGCTATATATATATATATATATTTTTTTTTTCAATGACATTCTTTGGTAGCCTTAGCAACTTCATTATGTTTTTACGGTCTAAATAATTTAAAATAAAATACATGTCCAATTATAATAAATCATGAAATCTCTCTTTGCTATTGTTACATCGCATTTCATAATACTGCTAAAACTTCAAAGTTACACCGCTAATTACGCCATTTATGGTTTATGCTAACTATTACGCTATTATGCTATTATGCTATTACGCATTATACTCAAAAATTATGCTCATCTTCATCACTCTTAATCGATGCTAATTTCTAAACCGTTCTATATGATAGAAAAGCAAAGCTCAATCTTCCGACATTCAGTAAGTTATCAATAAGTGATATGCATAAATTAACTTACTTTGAGAGTGTAAATTCTATTTCCTTCTTCGTCCAAATAAAACTTCAGATACATCACATTCAAATGTCTGTAAATCAATATTACTGCATTCATAAATATCAGTGAAAAGTGCTAAAAGTTAACCAGTTATCTATACCGCATCCCGGATCTCATCCAACATCTCAGATCAATTCCTGCCTACATAATCCCAAAAGCAACGAAAGCGGCCTTCCGACAATGTCTCATCTTCGCTTTGTGAAAATACTTGATCCCAAGAAAATCTTTTAAAATCACCAATGGTCACCGACGATGTATACCTTCAATAAGGATATACACTCTTAAATGTAACATCCGGATATAACATCCGTTTCTTGTCAAAGCTTATAAACTTTCAGAATTGTCTTAAATGATTTAAATTGGAGAGAGAAAAGAGGCTATCATATCATATATTTGACCTATGAATATTTCGTAGTACTAAAATAAACTACTAGAACTGTATCGTTCCTATTCTACAGGACTAGAAGGAGATTACATAGCAAGTGTGTCTTGTCTAATATTCACTTGATCTTGAATTCCACCTTACTAAATTCTCCGTTGGATAATCTCCCTTCCCCAAAATTGCGCTTGTTGTTCGACAAATGAACTATGATCTATCTCAGATGGAACGATGGAACGAATTGTGAGCTGAACAATAAATTAACAGGTGTGATTTATATATTTCTTAAATATTAGTGGATAGATATTGTGTCTCATCTTTCTAGTAACTACAAAATTCTTCTTACCATTACATATTTGTTGCTGTGTTTGAGATAGCTTTCGACCAAAATATGCTTTATTGAACAATATGGCACAACATACTACAAAATATTCTCCACTTATTTCGATAAAATATCCAGAACAAACAGCAATCAGCAGATTTCAGCTTATGGATTTAGAAACATACTACAAAATTTATTTCTATATAGTGAATTATGTTCAGCATTAAAGTAGCATTCAAAGCGGATAAATTAGAGAAAGACCTCAGACAACAGCAAACATATGCAAATTATTTCTATGAATAATCAAAAAGTTATTCAAAAATTCAAGCCTTTTTCTACTCTTGCATTACATCGCGTTATTTTAGATAATAACAGAATCACAGCGCTTACCTCGATTAAGGAAGCGAAATCTTCATGTCTTTTAAAGGTACAAAATGTTTCAACATACGACTGAATTACAAAGCAGCAAGATAAGTTAACAGCATAGTTCACAGAAATATTTTATGACAACATAATGCATATTATAATTTCAAGAAAATGAAATCTTTTTAAAAATTAGAGCGGCAAATTTAAGAACTGAAGCTGGATATGCATTGAACAATAAGCAAAACGTGAAAATGATCCTTAAAAATAATACCCGAATGAGCAGAAGTTCAATGAATAATTTAAGATAATGACAATTTCATCAGAGTGGCCCTGCGCCAACTGTGTTAAAAACATAGTCCCATAAAACAGTCGATATCCCAAAAGCTAAAAAAACAGAAGTTTGAAAGTCTTTTACCCTTTGCTACACTTTCTAGTAAATTTCTTTTCCTGATAATTCTCAAAAACAACAAAACTTCTCATGTAACTTCCTACAATAAATTTCAGTGTGAACAGAAAATGAAAAAAGTTGATTATATCAAACAGCTTTATATTAAGAACAAGATATGACTGTTAACGTTAGGGCATTTTGCACCAAAAACGTCAAAAAAAAAAAATTAGAAATTGAAATAAAATATACCGAGGTCGAAATTTTTGAAATGATGATTATTATGATAGACTTTTCGAAAGTGTAGATTCGTTCCTGGTAACGGATCGGCATGATGAAAATAGTAATGTGAACAATCGTAAATGATATAACCAAACAGTTTACCAGCTCCAAAACAACAAAATACGTCGTATGGAAGTAACGAAGTATATAAATAATAAAACAATGCAACAATCGGAGCTGCTGGCACTGGCGGAAAAACCAAACGATCAGCATCCATTGGAGTCTGGAAAGCACTAGCTATATTATAAATGAATTGATCGTTCACCTACTCTTTGGGAACACTCATCACTTAATGTTCAAATTTCATGGTTTCAGTTAATAAAACGATTAGACGAGAAGTACGAGTGCTTGAACAGTTTTACATTTAAAATTGTAAAAATTATTTGCGGTAAAAATTTCAGGGCAATGATTGCTAATATAATATTTTGGAATGAGAATAAGCGCATAAGAAACAAAAAAAAAAAAA